AGAGCTTGGTAACCTTGATTCGCCAATAGAGCCCCGATAGCAAATTTAACCACGTAAACCTTATCTTCTTTACAAGGTGAAACCGTGAAAGTTTTTCCATCCGGATCGTTATAAATATCACACTTGAGGTTGATAGGATTTTCGCTAGCCATTTCTATTTCCTAAATACAAAGCCCTATAGTGAGTATAGACCATACCTGGAGAGCAATTTCACTCTTATATATACGCCAAAGCCTTTGATATTAAACCAATTTCTTTGAAAGATAACACACGTACCTTTAATGTAAGCTAATACAAAGTGCTAAAAATTCGTGGGAGGGTTATGAAGTATCCTAAAAAATAAAGCCTCCCTAAAACATACTTATTTATACATCTCCCCTCGACCTCGAACTCACTAGGATGATTTAAACTTTATCAACCGAATCTCCCATTCTTAGCATAGTAAGCAAGATCTTCAGCGTAGGCGGGTACAAAGTTCCAAACCTGTTACGATTCTGAATCCATAGAAAGTGATATCGCATACAATCAACGCCAAGGTAAAAAAAAATATGCAGAATATTGAGTCATAAGACACATGAATGAAATACCTTTTATCTCAGCGATCGTAACAAAGCCGGTTAACGCAACAACGATCTGGGAATTGTGGAGATCTCGAACCCCTATAACTCATAATTTCTGATAGCAAAGCCGATAGAGATCAACGGGCTATTCGTCCTTATTGCCTTTTCGGGCTTCGTGGTTTTTATCGTAAAAGCATGTTTAATATAGAGACGATTTTCCAGCCTATATAGAGCGAAAAAAATAATGATTATTGCAGTTATACAATTATGCATGTTCCACGAACTTCTATGCTGATCCCACCCGTGATGTGATTGGTTGATAATTATTCTGAATTTTTTCCGAGAATTATGTTGATCTCTGATTCGCGGATTTAACTTACATAACATTGACCCGTTATAACGTGATGTGATTTATATAGGCATTAATAGGAAGCTCGATAATTGACTTTACCTTCTACTTTACGCTTTAGAATGGGACGTTTCTTATGCAAACGTTTAACTTTTATTCCCAAACTAGGTGTGGATAAAATACTTGAATCGCTATCAGAAGATAGGGAATCATAAATCTGATTCTTAGGATCTATTACTGATTTAATCGCATTTTCAATATCTTTTGCAGATAGGTCCGATATAGACTCACGAAGTGATACTTTACCTTTCTTACACTTGTTCTTTTGGCACGAGTTGGAATAAGGAGACTTGTGGAAATTAGATATATCACTCTCCATCATTGGATGAAATATAAATTGATTTCGGATTCTTGCAGAATGATATAATTCCATCATAGATTGAAATTCTTTCACCATGAGGATCGATTTTTGTTTCACACAATCACAATCATGACATTCCTAATACAAGATCAGCTTTAGGTTCTTTGCAGACTACAAAATCGTTTAAAACTTCATCATTACCAGATACTAATTTATCCTTATCCTTAAATCGAAAAGATAATTCAAGACTTTTCATGACACCTACAGCACCCTTCATTTTCCTTTTAATATATTTTGATGGGTTATTATATTTTATTCCAAGCTTATCGACTAAGCTTTTTCTAATGATATTTTCAGCTGATGATATTGTCATGAGTTCTGGGCTCAGGTAGATAATCTCATGACATAGGTGTTTAACCAACATCTATCTCAGTAAGTTAATAATTCAATCCAGTTGCTTTAGGATTGTGGTACTATGTGACTTCTTCTATTCTATTAATTTAGAATAGGTAACATTACTATTAATAAATATTTTCTTTATATTTACTTAGTGTGGCAATGGTTATATAATAATATAATACTGATATTCTATAGTAACCTGGTTGAGTATCCAGTAGTGTATAAAGTAAGTGTTATAACAAAATTAATAATTATAAAATCAATTAATATATAATTTCATTAAACAATAAACAAGAAGCAGTTTATTGATTAGCTAGATTTTGTATTAATCAATTGATGGCTTTTGATTTATTCAAAAGATCCTTTATTTATATAAAATAATTTATGACTAAGTTATTACAATGTGAAATATGTTATACATATTAAATAAATATAATATAGCAGATAATGTTGATATGTCTGAGAACTCTGCAATCTCTGTGATCTATATAAATCACATGACTAAATTTAAGAAATTAAAAAATTAAGAGTAATTTCAAACTGTAATAATATATCAATTAATATCTTAACCAAGTAAAACTCATAATTCTCTTTATGGATTTTATATTTTACATATATCATCTTGTAATATAATTTATATAAAAATTGAATCATGACACATATTTGAGACTATAGTAATCTAATCTAAGTCATTTTTTGTTTATATAAACAAAAAATAACTTGGTAAAAGTGATTATAAACAGGTGTAACTATAAAGGGGTTTGATTATATTTATTAATATATTATATTATAAAAATAAAGAGTTCTAATTGATCAAATTGATTATATATAAGATTTATAATTCAAAATTTGCAGTGATTTGAAGCTAACAAGAAAAGCATAATCATATATAGCACTAGTATTCTTGGTCGATAACAAAAAATCGACTGATCGACTGTAACCAAAATTACGATTAGTTGATTTCTGGTGTAACATTCTATATTTAGTAATAACTAACGCGCTAAAATCGGCCAAAGTCAATTTTTCGACTTAGATTTTTTTACTATCCTTTTTAGTATGTTGTACTAAAAATCAGCTGAGCCGATTTTTTCAAAATCAACCGACTAGGCCGAAACACCGACTTTGGCCGATTTTTTGATTATCAGCCAGAATCATTACATAGCACTTGATCAAAACCATGATCGATATACAGTTTTCAAAATTTACTATATCGAGAGTTTATTAATAAATTAAAGAGAACAAAAGTTTAACGAGGTTTGATTTCGATACAATGGATACCCTTTTCGATATAACGGATTAAAAGGATCATAATAAATCCTTTTCGATATAACGGAATTTTTGAAAACTTCGTTATATCGAGTTTACGTGTATAATAGGTAAGTCGGGAAGCTGGAAAGGTTGGACAAGTTGAAATGGGAGAAGTCAGAGGAAGAATACAAGGGCGAGAAAAAGGAGCTGGAGAAGGGGTGATTTGAAGACAAATGGAGGCGTGAATACAGAAACGGGAAGACGCGTTGACTCGGCCAGTACTTCGGCTTCGTAACTCGGGCGTTGGGCGGCAATAGAGTAAATACAAAATTCATCCTCATTATTTGAATCACATGATATAAATGGGTGCTCTCACTTTACAACCAGAAATTACTTGTAATTTACTAAATCCAGTGGTACAATGGCGCAGTATTAAACTATGCTAGGTGCTCTATATTAAATAGAAATCATTCAAGTCCCTTACATAATCCAGTTGAACGTTGTCTAACTTATGCTCTGTATGATTTCGCTCCACGGTTCACCCGGTGGTTGAACATTGGGTGCCGATTGATATCAGATTACTATGGGGAAAAAGTCAATCAAGAAGCAATTTCAAAATAAGGAATTACAGAGAATTAAGGTATGAAATGATTTTTTTCCCTGGGAACTTTTGGGAAGCAAATCCTTGTGGTACAAACTCTTTGTTACAAAGGTTTTCAAGGCGACGAGCAAAAATTTCTGATTCCACCTTGCGAGACATTGAAGCGTGATTTGTGAAGAATTCGTTCTACAAATCATACAATCCACACAACCTTTATTATTTGACATAAAGGTGTCTTGAGCTCATACATTAAAACAAGCTATTACCTACGGGACATTGATTACCAGAAACAACCAAGTACGGTTGGGAAAAGAAAGAACGGACTTATAATTGCATCTGATAATGATAATCATTCGACGGTCATGCGGATCTAGAACACTCATGATAAAGATGTTTCTTTTTATTTAATATTATTAATGTTAGTAAATAATTCCTAAGTATTTCACGATCTAATCTATATCCAATCGAATCCCATTCAAAGTACAAAAGAATACAAAATTCAAAATAAGAGCACATATATTAATATTATTGAATTGATTAAAGCTAACAATAGAAAATCAATTGTCTTATCTGATACTCGATTTCTAAGCCCTCCATCAAAAAAATAAAAGACTTCTGAAACAGATAAATGAAGAGAAGAGTGTTCACAATATTAAACCATAAATTATAAATAATATAATCATTTAGAAATTTCCGATATCAAAAAAAAATCATCGTTTAATACTCACATATAAATATATAAATATATAAATACATAAACACACAAACTCCTAAAACCCTCACACAACAAAAGCAAATTATATATATCACTCATTTTGCTCCTTTACCCTTCTTAATTAGCCACTGCAGGGTAATATCAATGTTAACTTGATTCTTTGCCGAAATCGAATAGCAAGATACTTCCCGATTATTAATCGACTTCAAATTCCTATACCGATAAAAAATAAAACATTTATAATCTGTCCACACAATAGAAAGATAACAAACAACTAATGAATAAATTGACATACATGACTTCAATAATTTGTTCGACGTTTAATGCATCGGGCAAGTCGTTTTTGTTTCCAAGCACCAATACCGGGATATTTGCCAGCTGTGGCTTCTCTAAAAGACTTTTGAGTTCTGTTCGTGCGGCCTCCAATTTATCATGATCAGCTGAATCGATAACAAATCTTTACAATCAAAGAAGTATTATTAATTAACAACTTTTGATGCTTAAATAAAATGATATCTATTATAGTAATATAATTTATTGATTAATTACACAATAGCATTGACACCACGACAATATCGTTCCCACATACTTCGGAAACGCGGTTGTCCTCCTATATCCCACAACTTCATTGTTACATTTCCCTTTGTGACTTTTCTCATATTAAATCCAACTGTTGGAATCATATCTTCAGTAAATTGGCCAGACTATAAAAAACAAATGAGTTGTTAACTAAATCACTTAATCAAATTAAAAGCAAATTTTTCTCAAAAAGCTGAATTAATCGATTTAATCAAGAACATTTAATTAATAACTAAAGATTGATAGGTCATCTAATTCGTCAATCATACGAGAAAAAAATAAATCATTGAAAAATAAAAGTAAATTCATTATAGATAAAAAAATTTGTCTTCAACCTTTGCAGGGCTAATGGAAATTAAACACTTACTGCAATGACGTTGACCAACGTTGTCTTGCCGCTGTTTTGCAAACCAACCAACGTGAGCTCGAGTTCAGTCTTAATTGGAGTATGAAAAAATCGAATGAATTAACATAAAAAGCAAATTAATACATGCAGAATACAGTTACTCTTGCGCCGATGTTATATTTACCTTGAAAAATAAACTTCGGAGCCAATCAAGCAAAGATTTCCATAACGCTGCCATTTCTACTCTTTAACTCGCTCGTTATTCTCTTGGATTTACAATTAAGAATAAATAATAATAGATAATAAGATAATGATAAAGAATAAATACGATCAAAAGTTCAGGAGTAAATTGTTGAAAGTATTTGGTACAGTGTTATCCAGTGGTGTCACAGAAAGCGCGGAAAAGTGGATAAAATTCAGCCTAATTCAGCCAATTTATAAAGCCAGCCGGCATTAAGATGATGTAAAAATTCACTAGTGTATTAATTCGAATATGTGATTGGTTGGTTAATATTGAAGTTACATGTAACAATTGTTATAATTATAAAATTACAAAAATCAAAATCAAAAAAGTTAAAACTTATTATTGAAAATATAATAAAATTGAAAATTTTTATTTTATCAAAATATTTTAACTTTTATTAATTATTTTATTTTTGTATTAAAATAAAAATTATAATTTATATTTTAATATTAAATTTTTGTAAGTTTTGCAATTTTAAATAATCTGCAAAAATATAAATTATTCATTAATAAAATTTTTTATTTTATTATATTTTAATAATAAATTTTGAAAGTAATATATTATTTTTGTTATTATATATTAAAATTAATTATTAAAAATTATTATAATAATTAAATTAATAATTTAGAATTATATATAATTTTATTAATAATTAATTATAAAAAATTTTTGTAATTATTTTGTAATTAAAATAACTTTATTAGATTAAAAAATCCAGAAAAATATGTATTAAAATATAACTTATAATTTTTATTTTAATATAAAAATTAAAAATTTTATTAATAAAATTATATATGTAATTTTATAATTTTTATTAATTATTATATATATATATTTCTATAATAAATTATTAAAAATTCAAAAAAGTATAGTAAAATATAATAAAATTAATAAAATAAAGCTAAGAATTTGTATTTTGATATATATTTTTTATAAATTTTTTAATTTAATTTCAATATTTCTAATTATAATATTGATTATATAAATTTTTTATAATTAAAATTTAGTATATTTGAATTTTAATTATAAAAATTTATATAGTTAATTTTATAATTAGAAATATTTTTAAAATTAAATTTATAAAAAATATATGTTAAAATTAGTTTTATTTTAATATAAAACAAAAATATTTGTTAATAAAAATT